AAAAAAAAAAAAGGACAAGGCCAATATCCAGTCATCTTCAGGATTGATTAATTGGTATCTTCTTGAATTTGGAATTTTCCTGAGTTAAAACTGAGTCTGCATCAAATTCAAGCTGGTGAGTCAAATGCCAGAGTCATGCTGTCTGTCATGGACACATTTGCTAGTTCGAAGAAATTAGCAGCAATGCTACTAAGTAAATTCAAGGGTAAATAAGGTTTATGATGATGATGATGATGATGATGATGATGATGATGATGATGATGATCACTTCTTGGGAATTATAGCATATTACAACTCCTCATGGTTTCAAACATGATAGATGGTGGGCACGAGACAAGTGACTAAACTACAGGAATTTCTGCAAGCTAAACAGTTAGCCTCATTATCACACTTAGCTTGTAAGCCTATACTAAAAAGCATTCTGCTTAGCCTGTAGTGCCGACTCAGTTGAAAATGGCTGGCTCTCAAATAACCGTTAGGTAATACAAAGTGTTACATGTGATTAAACTTGGACATATGACTTGGACTCTGACTTGAACTGGGGTCTGATTTGAAAAGTGGGCAAAATTCATTCAAGTCTTCACTCCATGACCTCTCACAAGCAGGGGCGTGAGACTCCTACAGTGGAGTATTCATGAAAATATTCTTCCAATTCAATAAAGCCAGTCTCTGTTTATTAAATGAAGTGCAGGAAAGTCTTTTGTAAATGTTCTAATGTCATCAGGTAACAGATGATTATAAGATAAAGACAGTGTTTTAAGCAATGGCAGCTGGCTGACCATCTGACCAAGCAAAGTGACACTCGATGAGTCAAACATGTTGTCCTCTAATGATAAATACTCCAGTGTAGCTGCTGATTTAAGGACAAATGTGCACAAGAGTTCAATACAGCTGACAAATCCATTGCCATCCAGTTTCAAAGACTGCAAATTGTGAACAGTGTCCATAGCACACATTTCACGGAGATCATAATCTCGGGCACCACATCCTCCAAGAGCCAGATGTGTCAGTGGTGACTGCAGGTGTCGCAGAATACTACACACTCCTGACCTGATGTAGTTACCAGTTAGATCTAGTTTCCTTAGTTTTGGTAGTTTGCCACAGATATTTGCTATTTGCTGAATGGCTGTAGTGTTGTGGCGTGTAATACCATTGTAAGATAGGTTAAGTGCTGTGAGGTTTGACAGGGTTAAAAGAACTGGTGAAATGAGATTGATTCCTTCTTCTTGCAGGCCATTCATTGTCAGGTTCAAGCCAGTGACAATCGCAGGCTGAATGGAATATGAAATCACAAATATTATTATCTTAAACTAATTAACATTTTATTATCCATTTCACAGTCTCACAACACTATGAAATATATACTAGTCCTCTCACTAACCAAGTTTGAAAGCTGTACTATCAGTTATGGACCAAGTTTTTTCCCCATCAATTTATGGCCCAGGCACAAAGTGTGTGGGCCATTAATGGAAGGGGAAAAGCAAGAATCCGTAACTTACAGCATGGACCGAAAAAACAAGGTCAGTAAGATATGTTTTATATCTCTACGGGGTGTCTGATGGATTCGGGAATGATTTCTATTCATGCAAAATGGCTTCAAATTTCTGATGTACCTTGAAATCAAAACACGTCAATAATTTGAAATTGTTTATAAATGACTCTCAAGTCATTAGCAGGTTTAAATACACAATCTCAAAAGTAAAAGAAAGTTTTAAGCTTTTACTTGCTAACAAAGTTAACAACACTTGGCGATAAATCACGAAACATTTTGGTTACAAAAACAGCTTTAAATTTTAGCGGGCCGTATTCTTTACGGCCCCCTAAACTGACCAATCACAGCGTGCCTACTAACTGAGAGATATAATAAGTAACTACTACTGAACCCACTGATTTTGTCACGTTGTTATCCACTGTACTTCCTGTTGTTAGCGTCTCCATTCAAGTAAACAAATCAAGAGTAGCCAACAAAAGTTTAGAACAAGGTAAGTTTCTTCAGAAATGAGACTTGCTATGAGCTTTTAGAGTGTCTTAAGTTATTGAAAGAATTAGACTACTTCCCTGTATTTCCGATAAGCATACCGGTAAGTCAATTTGGCTCTGATATGCCTTGATGACTAATAACTCACACAGTAGAAACCTATTACTTGTAACTTATTAATTGTTGCTAATTATTTGATTCATGGTTCACTCATCATCTCACCTCTAAAGAGGATAACAGGCAGTGGACTTTTTGTCTTCCAATAGGATGTATGGTCACATGTGACATCTTAAGGTCAAGAATTGAATGGTTGATGCATGCCTGAATTGCAAGGCCACAATTATCTGCATCAACGACACAATCAAGCATCACTACCAATGGAGGAATTTTTTTCCATGGAAAATCTGTTGAGAAATTTTCTTTGAAAGAATCATATTCAATAGGACATGTGTCCAAAATTTTCATTCCTGACACATCATTTTCTGACACTGGAATATTTCCAGCCAGCTTGCAAAATGCTTTGGTCCCCTGAAGGCCTGTAAAAACAGTGGAACAAAGAAAAACTATTTAATAATGGCCATCTTCCATATCCCTTTACAAGATAACAAGACAGAGATGCCAATCTAAGGCATAACATTGCTAGCAACAAATTATGACATCAGTGGCCATTTCAAGACATCAGAGACGAAAGGTCCTCGCACCAAGAGTAGATGATATGCAGTGGCGGATCCAAACTTTGAGCTATAGGGGGGACTGGGGGTTGTTTTGCTTGCCCTGCCGGCTTTTCTTCCCTTTGTGATTTTTTCTTTTTTTTTACCCAAAATAAGGG